AGTGAATCTGTGAGTGAATGTGAGTGCGAATGGTTGTCTGTGTCTCTTTGCGTTGGCCCTGCGACAGAATGGCGACCTGTACAGGGTGTACCCTGCCTCTTGCCCTATGACAGCTGGGATAGGCTCCAGCGCCCCCAATGACCCTGGAAAGGATAAGCGGAAGCTTATGGATAGATGCTGTAGGTGACCCAATACTTTTGGTCATATAGTCTGTTATAGTCTATTTCAATATTAGTGAAATACCAACTCTGCCATTGCCGGTCCCAAGCCCGGATGAGAAAGGAGGAGGGTTGGGCGTGGGGCTAGCAACCCCACCCTGTAAAAACTCCAACTGCTACGGAAACAGCAAGTGAATCTCATTATCGACTGAATCAGGGCGAAGATGATCGGCAACCCTTAATGACGGCAGTGGAGAAAAGCCCTCGGGTCGTCCACTGCCCGATGCGTCGACCAATTTTCGACCCAAAAGAAACCCCGTTGCTGCGCCCGGACGGATGACAGCTGCACAGATTTCTTCAAGATCAATGCTGGCGTCCGACAAGGATGCGTGCTATCCCCTTTCCTCTTCCTGTTGGTAATTGACTTCATCATGCGACGATCAGTTGATCAAGCTGGCATCGGTGTGCCCTGGCACGAAGCGCGTAATCTCACTGACTTGGACTTCGCAGATGACATCGCCCTGCTGGGCTCGACTCAGGAAGACCTCCAAAAGTTGACCGCCTGCAGAGGGAGGCGACGAAAGTTGGACTAAGAATCGGCGCCAAAAAAAACAAGTTACTCAGAGTTGGCTATGCACGTGCCCGCATTCCTCTCATGATCAACCAACAACGTGCTGAAGAGGTGGAGAATTTTACATATCTTGGCAGCATCATCTCGAATGACGGGGTCTCTGATCGGGATGTCGACGCCAGAGTAGGGAAGGCAGTTGGTGTCCTGCGACGTCTCCAACCTATTTGGAACTCGACCTCCCAGAATGTAAGGGTCAAGATCAGACTACTGAACTCTATCGTCTTCCCTACTGCCCTTTACGCTAGTGAAACCTGGCGCTCAACAAGTGCAATTATTCAACACCTGAACGTGCTTCAACAACGTGGCCTGAGAATTTCCTACCGGGACCGAATAACAAATGAGGAGGTCCTACGAAGAGCAAGCTCCCGCCCATTAGCTGATGTTGTTGCAGAAAGGCGCTTCCGCTTTGCGGGCCATATTTTACGCCTACCCCCTCATCGCCCAGCTAAGATTGCCATGACATGGCGTCCACGCACTGGCAAGCGAAAGCAAGGCCGACCAAAGACCACATGGCGTCGAACATTCATGGACGATCTGAGAACTGTCGACATTGCCTGGGACGAAGCTCAAGCAGTCACTGCTGACCGACATCGATGGAGATCACTAGCTGCCCGATGTGCCGCCCGGCGTAGGAGGAACTAAGTTTTAAGTTCTAAGTAAGTAAGTGAAATACCATCTGTAAAAAATTTACTATTTTGTGTAATTTCTGCTCAAAAAGTGTGAAATGACTCTGGGAAAATCTCCGAGTGTTTACGGTTGTTTGTGTTGTTTAGCAAAAGGAATAAAACTGAGGAGCGAAAAGTGGAAAGCTGTGCTGTCTCTCGTTTATCTGTCACTGTCACTTACTTTAATTCATTTGGATTAAATCCTTAAACCTTGTCTCTGTGCAGTCTGACATTGTGCAGACGTCACCATCAGATCAACTGTGAGATGCCCTTTTCTGCAGTACAGCACCTCAAAAACAAACAAAAAACAGCTAAACTGCTGTTTTTCTGGAGGCATTCCTTATCAGCTGGAGGGAAATGCTGAAGCCTGTCTCATTTGTTTTCTTTTTCCTGTCGTATAACGATGTGTCTGCCATCTAGTCCTTTAAGTGTTGATATAGTTATCTCACAGGAAGTCACACATGTGAGACAGAGACACGTGTGCAGAAGGCGCCATGAACTATCTCTCATGTGATTCTCTATTTGTATTTCAGTCCTTTTTGTCTGTATGTGAAGGCTGAGACAGAGGAAGTGTTGCTGTCAAAGTTTTAATTTACTCCTAAGACAAAGCTCCATGTGAATGTGTTTTACATTTTACAAAAGGTCAGGTAGTTCTCCACAAAACCTGTTTGTAATGTTAAAAATATAAATGTTAGGCAAACAAAACAACACTGCAGTGCTTTGTCTGCCTACATGACTATATTAACCTGCTGAGGCCTCAAGGGGAAACATTTACTGCTTCGCTCCCGTTAACCGTTAAAATACAATCAGCCTCATCATTAACCCAAGCAGCCATTATGGTTAAAAAGAGCCTGTTTTCCTTGTTTTTGATCACATTATTTTGCAATAGCGGATTTTCATATTAATTATGGGCAACATTAAAAAGAATGTTCAGTGGGTGTTCAAATAATCCCTTTAAACCAAAGGTTCAGGTTTTAGACCGCTATAAACTCTCTCTTTGAGTCTTTTTTTTTTTTTACTCTCAGCCATATGTGATGTCATAGAGAGCAACGATCACTACTATAGTTATCTCAGACGCACAGCTTTTAATGGGGGCGCAGAAGCCCCACCCAGCAGCTTCTTGCAAGAGGCCCTGGAATTTAAAAAATTTGAAGCGATAACTGAGTTTTGTTCTTCTACGTCCTCACTGTGCATTTTTTTAAGGTGATTTTTTTTATATTTTTGTCCATGTAATCTAGGTTTCTATGTTTTTGGGGTGTAAGTGTGCTCTTTTTTTTTCTTTTTTCTTTTTTTTTAAAAAATCTCCTCCTTTTGATTAATGTCAGACTGGTTTAATCAAACTTAGTGTTAGTGTCTAGAGTTTTTGTTTATATCTTGTTATCAAAATTTCATCTCTGTGTTCTGTGATTCCCTGTTCAGGTGTTCCTGTTTTATTTTGGTAGTCATTTGTTTTGTGTGATCTATTTATGTTACTTGCTTTGTCATCACTTTCATTAATTTCAGCAGAGTACCTCATTTGCTTCTCAGTCTCCTTCCAGTGTTTGTCAGAGTGTCTAATCTCGTTTTAATGTGGTGGTCACATTTGGACATTCTCGGATTCTAGTTTGCTTTCATCACTCAACCTTTGTACATCGTAGGCTTTAGTTTTCTGTCTAAATAAAAAAAGTTTCTTTGTTTCTTGTTTACTTATTCAATCTCTGAGTTTTGGATTCGAACCATGCCTCATCATAACATGAGCAATACTAGGGCTGAACTTTGGAGGTTAAATGATCAGTACTGAAGATTAAGGTCTGTTAGAAAATATCCAGTAAAACTGTTTTTATAGATGCAGCTGTGCAAATGAAAAATAAAAAACTTAAGACTGAATTTAACACGAAACTACCAACGTGTGTGTGCAGATAATCAGGTTCTTAAGTACCGTTAATATGAGTGTGTTGTGAGTAAATTCATCAACTTTAGGCCCTCCCCTCACCCTAATCCATATAAATAAAGCTGTTTAAATTCATAGTTCTGGCTGGTTTCATTTTCATGACAATGGTGGTGAGAACTCAAAGGCACTATTCATTATAGCCATATGAAAACAAAACATAAAACAGTATTCACTCTAACACACCAAGGGATAGTC